TTCTTGGACTCGGGGATGTGAAGGAGGGTGGGAGCAAGTCATTGTGTTTCCTTGTTTCATTGGGCCGGCTCTGTTCCTTCCGTGAAGAGAACGTAACTACCTTATCAATGACACTAAGGTAGCGTTGTTCTTCCGAGAGATTGGGATAGGAACGATCTCAGGTGAACCAGTTGTGTTTCCACTTAACCCAATCTCTCGGGGAGTGGGTACCATGCATCTCACCATATTTCGGTGATGAAATGGCATCCCGTAGTTTAATTTATTCATTCCTTTTGTAAATCATGTTGATTCCTTGCCAAATTCGTGCTTTATACCCATTTCGAGGTCGCTTTCCTGAGCTTCCTTTAATCTGAATAGGACAAATCTCCCATTTCGGGTACAAACAACCACCCGAATACTTAGATTAGCGTCGTACAATGCATACTATATCCATTCAAGCGCTTTACGGCGTCGTTTCATTTCGAAATTCTGGGTCGTTCTGGGAATGGGAACCTGATCTACCTAGTGATATGTCGAAATAAGCTCCCTCTCACGCATTTCGTCGAGTAAATGGATATTTTGATTAGAAAACAACTATATGAACGAACTATGACAGTACAGAGTCGTTCCAGGCCATCTAATCGAGTCCTCGACAGGGAATGACTTCGCTGAATACCCAGACACTGTGTGGTACGCAGTCGCCATGAAATTCTCTCCTCGGGCTGTAAATGAGCGGTGTAAGTGTCATGAAGACTTCGAGAGCACACGGGCGCTTACTGCAGGCTCGTAGCGCAGTCTTCTTGAGCGCAGCATCTCTCGCGTGATCTCCTTCTCTCATGTTCATCCTTTCAATTGCACTCGTTCAGTCTTTGCTTCTGACTAGTTACGGTGCACCCAAGTCATCTGCAAGCAAGAAATGGGCAGGTCAGGCAAGATGAAAGCGGCTCGTGAGGGGGAGTAAACGCACAAAAAAGAGACCCCACGGAATATATGCTGGAAAACCCTGAATGGAGACGACGTGAGCGGACTGGAAATGGGCAATACGACAACTTATTGACATACCTCTCCATGAAGTCTTGCAGCACCTGCTCGCGTGTTGGAGCCAGCGCCGGGCATTTCGCATGGAGTGTTCGTCCCAGTTTCATGCCGCTATCATATTTTGGAGTCTTGAATCGTCTCAGAGCGGTCAGGGCAATGGAAAAGAGGGAGACAGCAGGTGAGAGGCATCCTGGAAAGGAAAGTGAGTAGAAACAATGTGCTGGCACCCGGATGGACTTCCTACCTCCACGGAAACCCAAACACGAACTCCCTCGTCCTCACAAGACAATTCCGAGTAAATATCAATCTAGGACAGAGATATTAGCCCAATACTTGCGAGGAAACAAAATTACGGACAGAGGACATGCTGGGAGTGGGTGACAAGGAGAATTTGGTGGAGGGAACGTGGTATTCGTGGCGTGAGCTGAGTCATGATGGATCGGGCGCCAATTGATCAGCGGTCCCGCAGCTCCTTGCGAAGCACATCCCTGCAACGCGAACAAATCATTCTGTTGAAAAAAACCTTGGAAACGGCACTCGCAGCACAGAAATCTTGACGTTGCACATTCTTATTGGAGAAGAGCACACGTCTGAAC